AGTATATTAACTTCTTAATATGATGTGGAGCCCTGGTGGCACAGCGGTTAAGACCTGGGCTGCTAACCAAAAGGTTAACAGTTCAAATCCACCAGCTGCTCCTTGGAAATCCTATGGGGCAGTTCTGCTCTTTCCTATAGAGTCACTGTAAATTGGAATAGAGTCTATGGCAACGGGTTTGTTGTGTTTGGTTTTTTTTTTTTTGGTTAATACCATGTTGGTCAGCCTTTTCTAACTCTGGTCTCTGTCTCCCACACTTTCTTTTCTCTTTCCTCTTCTTGAGGAAGTGCCTAGCCAAGGGTTTCGCTCTTTCTCCCTATCACTTTTGAGTTCCTGTTATAATTGCTAAAAACAAAATGTTCACAATATTAAATTCATGTATGAACTCATTAGCTTTATTTTTCAGTTCATGAACCAGAGAATGTCTGGTCTGAAAGTCAGATGAGAGTTGGGAAGTGCAGTACAGGTGGACAGGCTTTTGTAATGGCACACAAACAGGAAATAAGAAAGATGTATTCAGCAATTTCTGGATTGACTGGTGGACATTTTCTCTCCTTATTTGGTATCAAAGGCAACTTTGAACCAGGTTAAACTGATCAATCAAGTCCTCATTGGGTATCTTAGGTTTCTGTTTCCGTAGAGTCAATAGATTGACTTGGATTTTGGTATTTACATGAAATAGAAATTTAGGTTTCAGTTTGACTTGAGGCTCAGCTCATGTGACTCCATTTTGGGCCTAGTTAAGTCAGACTATGATGATTTATGTGTCTGCAGATTGAGAGGTGTGTTACAGGACTTCAGTATATATCATTTTTATATTATGATGTAGAATAACTTTTTCATGGCTAGGTTATAAAAAGCCCCGGTGGCACAGTGGTTAAGAGCTGGGCTGCTAACCCAAAGGTTGGCAGTTTGAATCTGCCAGCCACTCCTTGGAAACCCTATGGGGCAGTTCTTTTCTGTCCTGTAGGGTCGCTATGAGTCGGAATCACTCCACGGCAACAGGTTTGTTTTTATAGTGCAAATTGTTCTGACATTGTCTAGCGTTTATAGTGGAATTAAAACATATTGGTAGAGGCAAAGAGCTAAAGTTTAAGAAGTAGTAAGGATTGGAAATCTCTAGGTGGTGCAAATAGTTAACACACTCAACTGCTAACCAAAAGGTTGAATCTTTGAGTCCACCCAGAGGTACCTCAGAAGAAAATCCTGGTGATCTACTTCCAAAAAATCAGCCACTGAAGACCCTATAGGGCACGATTCTACTCGGCGCACATGGCTTAGGACTTAAAAAACTGTGAGTCAAAAGTAGAAGGACGGCTTCTCTCACCCATATGACTAACTGGTATTAGCCTCCTCGACAAGAATTTCCACAAAAAGGTGGAGAAGCGGTTGGGGTGAGATCCACACTGCTCTCTCAGCCCCCTGGTCCCTGCCTTCACAACATGGGTCCGGGTTTGCAGTCAACATCCCTGTGTAGAGAATTGCCGTGAGCATCCCAGTTCCCACGCCAGGAGCTGGCCTTGGTGAAAGGCTTCTGCAGACATCAGTTGTAATTGGGTTCGAGTTTTTCCTTGACAAAGGAAGGCATTTCAGAACAGAGAGCTGTAATATTCTTTCGGCTTCAAGTCTCCTGGCTCTGTTTTCATCAACTCTCTCTTTCCTCCTTTCCCCATCACAATTTTAATAGCTAAACCCCTAGCTAGAAAGAGTGACTTAAATATATGTATTCTACAATATATTCCGCTATATTCAGCATTCTGCTATTATTAGAGCTAAAATGTCAACCTTTAATGTCGGCCCTGGCTAGATCTGAATATTTAACAGAGGCTTCTTTTTAAACCTTTTCATGTTTTCTATTTAGGCTCCCCCCTGCCCCAGAGATTTAGAAGAAATAATTTTTCGGTTTTGTCTTCCTTCTTAGCATTAGCTACTCTGCCTCTTTTTCCCTGACATTTCCTTTACATAGTGCTGCTATTCTAAACTGATGGCCACAGAGTCCTTCTCAATAACACCGAGACAAAGCGCTCCGCGTAGCTGATAAATTATAAGCAGGCACCGCGTCGTTGCTTGATGGATTGTAATAGTGAATGTGTGTGAGTCATGGGTGTTATTTTTGGTCAAAAGAATTGTGTGAACTTTTCTCCTCTATTTTGAGGGCTTTGAAATGTGCTACTTTTCCCGCCTCCCCCCCCTTGAAGGTGTATGTCAAGGAATTAGGCACCCTATCAGAATAGTCATTTTTCTAGTTTGCAAAGTTATTGTTTTGGAGTTGAGGAGGTGGAAGGACTGAATAGAAAAGAATTGTGTGTTGACACCTAATCCAGCCTGTTCAATGTAAAAGAAAATTGCAGTCACCTGCTTCAAAGTGGGGGCAGCTCCCCCACCCCACCTCCTAGGGTCAGTTTTAAAGCTGGGATAGATTTACCATGAACTCTCTTGGAGGCAATGTGATTTTAATTGACCATTGTTTTGCGGAAGTGTAATTTGGTAGGCTTTATTTTGCTAGATTTCTTTTCATCCAGGCTGCAGGGTAAATAATGTTTGATAATCAGATTGCTGGGTCTCTAAATCACTGTTTTATAAACCAGCCCTGATTCATTGACTGATGCATATACTCAGTGCCTTCTCTGGGCCCGTATCCAAACTCCTGCAAAAGTCTTTGAGCTCTGTGCTATTCAAAGTGCGGCCCCAGGACCACAGCCAGCGTGGGGGCTGCTTGTTTCTGGTCTGCAGCAAGGTAGGTACAGAAATTGAGATTAAGTGTTGGGAAATTTTTCTAGCAATTCGACAGCATGATTTTGTGTCTGTTGCATCTAATAATAAACACTCATGGGGTTTTTTGGTAATTCATTTTTATTGCATTTTACAAAAGTATCCATCTGTGATGGATTAGAGGAAGAGAGCTGATCTTTCACCACTGGTAGATTGAGTTGTAGGAGTACTTGGTGGCGCAGAAGGTTAAGTGCTCGGCTACTAACTGAAAGGTTTGCAGTTCAAACCCGTCCACAGGTGCCTTTGAAGAAAGGCCTGATGATCTGCTTCTGAAAGGTCACAACCCCTGGAGTGCAGTTCTGCTCTGCACGCAGGGGGTCGCCATTAGTGAGAATCCACGCGACCAGAACTGGTTGGTTTGTTTTTTGGTTCCGATTGAGTTGTACTGGTTTAGCCACTGCAGTTACATTGGTTAGCAAATGTGAGCGTGTTCCCACTGACCTGAGGAGCTCAAGCCATTATAGGTTCAAAAGGGGAAGATTAGAGAGTTGGGGGATTTTATTTTATTTTGCCTTTGTTAAGTTTTCACTGTTGCTCTTACAAAAATCTTTTTGCAAGCATCTCTTCTGACGTTTAGGAGAAGCCTCCTGTAAAGGTGAATTTTGCAGTGTCTCCTCCAGATGGGGATGCTGAGATTCACCTGATCACGTGCAGGTAGCTTCCGGCTCCAGAAGGCCACCTTCAGCCTGAAAGAGCCAGCACTGGCCTCCCCACCACCCCTTCTCTGGGCTCGTTGCTCCTGTCTGGTGGCCCATCCCTCCATCTGTTAGAGAAGGATTGTGCTTGCTGCTGTGGGAGAGGATCAATGAGCTGATGTCTGGGAAATGTTCTGGAGTTCCGTGAGGGAAAGGCAGAGGCCATCAACCTTGTGCAAAGGAAGGAGACTGCGGGGTGGAGGGGCGGAACCAGGAAAAAGAGAATCAAGAATTGAATCATCTTCCAACTTCACTGCAGCCCTTCGGTCAGACTGCTCTTGGGCCTTGCATACTCCTGTGGAAGTTTTGAGATGTGAAGGGAAAGAGGGGACATAGGGAAGAGGTTGCCTTTTTTCCAGCCTGGAGTATTTTTCCACTGGATATCCACAAGGCTCATACTCACTTTCTCGACTTTTTCAGATGTGACCTTCTCAGTGGGACCTTCTCTGACCCTTTGCCCAGGCATGTTCTGTCCCCTTTGCCTGCTTTAATTTTTTCCATAGCGCTTACCATCTAGCATAGTCAGTTATTATTTATTTTACTGCTTGTTCCCACCCCCGACTGTGATGTAAGTTTTACCAGACAAGAAGTCTTGTCTGTATTGTTCGCTGCTGTATCTCCAGAGCCTGGCAAATAGTTGTTGTTGTCAGTTATTGTCCAGTCAGCTCCTCACTCATGGCGACCCCATGCACATTGGAATGAAACCCTGTCCCATCCTGCGCCATCCCCATAACCAGTTTTGGACTGGACTGTTGTAATCCATAGGGTTTTCACTGGCTGATTTTCAGAAGGAGATCACCAGGTCTTCTTCCTATGCCATCTTAGTCTGGAAGTTCTGCTGAAACCAGTTCAGCATCATAGACATATATAAGCCTCCACTGACAGATTGAGTGGTGGCTGCACATGAGGTGTATTGGCCAGGAATCAAACCTGGACTACATGTAGGGAAAGAAGGAGGTGAGAAAGCCAGTCCAGGAGATTGTTGAATTACCTCTGGAGCCTGACTTCTGAAACTGATGCACACCACTGTTCTCTTCTTTGGCTGCCTTCTAGAATTGTGATCAAAATTTGTGGCACTGAGGTAGCAAAGAAAAGCTCATAAAACAAGGTGCATTTGGAAAAAAAAAAAAAGTATCTAAAACAAGATGAAGCTTTCTCTGTATTGTTGGCCCAAATTTTAGAATTGAACTCCATGTCCACTTTCAAGATTTTTAGTGATGAGCTCTTTAAAAAAAATAAAGCCAAATACAATTGACTCCCCCATTACTTGTCCAAGTGCCCTCTGTGAATCATTCGGGAAACAAAGAGCGTCCCCAGATGGAAGTTCATGGCCAACTTCATTTTCCTCCATGCAATTGTGGCAGCATCACTTGCACACTTGCTGCAGTGGCGATTCATATATGCATATTTACTCTAATGGTTTTTGTGTGGCTCAGCTGGGCTTGAACGCCAGCCTCAATAAGCCCAATAAAGCCCCGCGTTTATGCACTCCTCTGTTTCTGATTGTATTTCAAAATGTGTTGATATTTCCAGGCAAATCTTGCACAACTATTGAGAGATTCTCAGGACCGAAATAAACATCTGGGAGAAGAAATTAAAGAACTTCAGCAAAGGCTTGGAGAAGTCCAGGGCGACAATAAGGTACTGTGAATATTTAAAGGGAAAAAAAGCTTGCAGTGTAATTGTGCACCAGAGGTTTATGTTTAGCACATCAGAAAAAATGTAATGCAGCATTTGTTGAAAAACTTGTTAGATTTTTACATTTGCAATGAAAATTCACAGTTTAGCATTTCGTTATTACATTCCCTTTGTGTGTGTGTGTGTGTGTGTGTGTGTGTGTGTTTCTGGGTTCCTCTAAAATATTGTCATAACCCATTGTCGAAGTTTTATTATGTTTAGGTTGGTGGTGAATAACATTGTGGTTGAGGGCAAAATAAAACCCAAATGCTATACTTTCCCCCTTCTATACAAATAATGGATATGTGGCTCAGATGATTTGGAATTATTCACATTCGGTTTTGAATTTTAAGTAGTCATCCTACTAATTATGTTCACATAACCAATTTATTTTATTGCTAAATTTGGCAATTTGTATGGAACATTGCTCAAAATCCACTGCTTGGTATTAATCAAACTCCCTGTTGGCAACGTTAATTATAAAATATGAACTCATAAACTCCAAACTAAATGATTGCACTCTCACTCCAGCTGAAGCTGTGAACAAACGTACAATTGAGAAGGGGAAGAAAAACCACGGAAGTTTAATTCTGTTCCCCAGAAATAATTTCCTGTTTTGGCAAGATAGATTCATTTTCAACTCCTTGCCAGAGGCGGATTTTGCAAGAGAGATGGTGTTGGAGTTTGACTCAAGAAAACAATGGGAAGCAGAAGGGGGACTTTGTGGAGGAAATGTCTTTTAGATGTTACCAAATTCCTTGACAAATGATGGTGAAATTCATTGTTGCTGGGAGGTTGTTGGGTATTGGAAGGCACCATTTTGAAAGCTGCTCACTCTGTAACAAATGTCCTCTAGTGTCTGGGGTATTCAGAGAACGCTTCCAAAACAAAACATCAGAGAGGAACTCTCTGCGTAGTGCTGACTTGGCAGGCCAGCTGTAAGGGCACGTACCAGTTGCCATCAAGTCAACCCCAACTCATGGTGACCCCGTATGTGTCAGAGCAGAACTATGCTCCACAGGGTTTTCAATGGCTGATTTTTTGGAAGTAGATCACCAGGCCTTTCTTCTGAGGTACTTTTGGGTGGCCTCGAACCTCCCACCTTTCTGTTAGCAGCCGAGTGCTTGACTGATTGTACCACCCAGAGGCTCCTGAAGGCATATACTTAGCTAGGAAGCCTTCCTTAAGAAGCTCCATCTCTCGTCTCCTACTCTGCCCTTTTTCATTTTTTTAAACATCTTGGATTCAACATAAATTTGAAACACTAGGCTCCACTCTTCTCTATCATGAAATAGACAATGAGAGAGAATGCCCAGGAAAGGGTCTCATTACCACCTGACAAGCTAATCAGGCCTCTGGCGCGGTTTTATGCGTCATTAAGAGGATTTAAGGTCGGGTAACCTAGGTGTTTGGTCAATAATTAAAGGCCAGACCTTCTTAGTCCCTTCCTCAAGTGATAACAGCAGGGTTTTCTAGAGAATAAAATGAAACGTATGCTGTAGTTGTCTTTAAACCCATAAAGTACTAGAGGAATTTTGGAGACGTTAAACCTATTGCCACTGAGTTGATTCTGACTCGTATCATGTACACGGATAATACTGAAGATGTTTTGAAGATGCGATTTTTGGAATCATGGTTCTGTGATCCTTCTTGACTGATTTTTTTTTCTATTTATTTCCTTTGTTTTCCCCCTGAGTTACACTCCTCTCCTCCCTCCATCAACTTTCCTAAATACATTTCCGCCTCACCTTTTGACCACTTTTAATTTTTTCACCTTTTTGGTTGCTGTGGAATTTGTTGTTGTCATCAGTTGCTGTTGAAGTTGTCCTGGTCTTGCTCCAGTTCCATGATCTTTGGTATATTTGAGCCCATTCTTACGGCTGTTGTGTCATTCCAGAATGTTGTTGTTGTGTGCCATCGAGTCAAATCCAGTCAGTTCCTACTCATAGCAACCCTACAGGACAGAGTAGAACTGCCCCATAGGGTTTCCAAGGCTGTGATCTTTAAGGGAGTAGACTGCCACTTCTTTCCCCGCAGGAACAGCTGATGTGTTCAAACTGCTGACTTTTCGGTTGGCAGCCCTGCACTTAACCATTGCGCCACCAGGGCTCCTTCAATCCAAAATAGTCACAAGGTATTTTAGAAATTGACATTAAAACTAATATTTCAGTGAAAGAAAGGGAAGGCCCGTGTGCACATGTGTGAGCGTGTGTATTTTTTTTTTTGTGTGTGTGTATGTGTGTACCATCAAGCACAGTTTGGGGGCTCCTTTTGCATTGTTACAGTCTGAATTTCCTGATTTGCTTGTGCTCTGGATCTTTATTCCAATAGCTGGACACATTTATCAAACTTTGTTTTCTCACCCAAGGTTTAGAATTTAGTGACTCATATTCATGGCCTGTGGAGCAGTCTGCCTGCCAGAAGGTGCAGGGAGAGTGCGATAATGCTCAGCAGACCCTGTAGCTCAGGATCCGGCCTCTCCCTCTCAGAACAGAGATTCCATTTATTCTCATTTCTCAAGGTATAGGGCTGGTTTATTTTCAGCCCCTTGTGAGTCATGGTCATCCTCCGCACCCCCAATCCTCAACCTTAAGGCTAGATCCCTCATTTGATAATGACACCAGATGTTTTTAGAAACTCAGAGACCTCTGTGATGGTGCAGTGAGAAACGGATTAACCTTTCACTTCTTTGATTCATCATGTCACTCACTGCCACAAGCCTTCATCACCCTCTGAATCTAGTTCTGCCTCCTTGCGGTGATGTGCTCGGCTCTTAATTTCTCCAGCTACAAGTCACCTCACACTCCATCCCTATGGCACTCATTTCAGCCCCTTTGCTGCCCTGTACCGCCTCATGTCTCAGGCCTTTGCACATGCTGTCTCCTCTGTCTGGAACGTTCTTTCCCTTTATTTTACCTGCCAGCTCCTGCTCATCTTTCAGATCATGGGTTAGTTGTTACCGTCTTAGTGACCTAGCACTGCTGTACTATAAATACCACAAGTGGGTGGCTTTAAAGAACAGAAATTATTGTATCAAAATTTGGGAGGCTAAAGTCCAAATCAGGTCTTAGCCATGTGGATTCCTTCCTTGTCAGTAGCCCTGGGCCTTCCTTGGTTCTTGACCATCCTCATATGGCATCTGTCTTCCCCAGTATGTACCCTCTTCTGTGTCTAATCTGCTTTTTTTTAATAACTCAGAAGTGGTTGGGTTTAGGACACACCCTATACTGCTATGACCTCATTAACATAACAGTGAAACCCCTACTTCCAAATGGGATTACATCCACATGTGTAGGGATTAGGATTCAATTGTGGGGGACAAAATTGAACATAACAGTTACTTTATCCAGAAAGCCTTCTCCAGCTCCTAGAGAAAGGCGCCAGTCCTGTGTGCATCCGCAATGCCCACCTCCCCCTACCCCCTGCCTTCCACTTGCACTTTTGTGGCACTTATGTGCCAAAAGAATTCCTGTCTTGTGTGCTACTCCATCCCTAGGAAGTAGCATTCTTAGATCCTGATGTATAGGCATTATTTAATGAATCTTTATTGAAGGGATAGGATGGAATCAATGAATGAGTGAATGAATGAATGAAGGGAATGAAAAGAAGAGCAAAAGTGTTCAGGAAAGAGCAAGAGAAAAAGGGGAAAAAAAGCAAAACAATGCAAGAAAACAAGCAGACTGCCTGCCATCCTTTGTCATCAGTCGTCCTTCCCGTAGGGAGAGAAGCAGTTTAGGAGTTTGGAGAAAGAAGACAGAAAGCAGATTGTTCCATCACAAAAAAAAAAAAAAAAAAATCCCTCCCCCCTAAAAAAAACCCAAGGGTCACTGAGAATTTAAGGACCTTGGGAAGCCCCTGTGGAGAGAGCAGAGGGTCAGGAGCTGAGACTTGGTGGACAAAGAATGAGCGTCCTGCTCATTGGCTGGTTCAAGCCTGTTAAATTCAGTGATACTTAATAATTGTTGTTGTTGGATGGACTCCTGACTCTCATTCCAAGCATCATTTTACGAACTATTGTTAACGGGAAAGATTTTTATCTTTGAGTTGCCATTTTAACTGATGACCCTTGTCCGTATTTTGGGAAGACTGGATTCAAGATGTTAAGTACATTTAAGAACCAAGGTGATAGGAAATGACTTGCCTTGGATACTTTCGGGTATAGACTAATTTTCCCATTTGTTCAGCTAGAGCCTTGTAACCTGACATGTCATAAAGCATTTCCTAACGGCCTCTTGAAAGATTTGTTGCCACGGTGGCTTATAAGCAGCTTAGCACTCACATGGGGTGCGGGTCCTGTGACCGGGTGGGGGTCCCATGACTGGGAGCCTACTGCGATCAGTCACTACTTGCCATCTGTCTGTCCACTGCCTAAGAATTTCTCAGGGCTCCCAGAAATGACACAGCCACCCCAATCCAAACCAGAGGATAGGTATGAAAAAGGAAACCTCCTAGACTCCTTTCCCTTCCTTGGAAATGATAGTTCTTAAAGGCTAATGAGGAAGCGGGAGTTCCCTACGGAAGGGAGCACTCACACCTCCACAAATTACTATGGGAAACACTTTTCACAGACTGCCCAGGGCCATCAGCATGTCAGTATGTGAGAAGTAAGGACCAATTATGCGGAAAGATCCAGACAACGCTGGGTCTCAGGTCTGAAAAGGAGCCCATGGAGTTACAGCACCCTTTCCTGCCCCAGAGGTGGTCCTGCTACCTCTTCTCCGGCACAGAGAAACAGACGGATTTGGGTGACAGTGGGCTCAAGCATAACAATGATTTTGAGGATGGCACAGGACTGAGCAGTGTTTTGTTCTGTTGCACATAGGGTTGCTATGAGTTGGAACCGACTCAATGGCACCTAACAACCTAACAATGACAGATTCAGGCAAAGGGGAGCAGAAAGAAAGGGTCACTGAGAAATTAAGAATTAGTAAGAATCAATCCCTCCACCCCATCTGTCTGTCAGT